TCTAAATTGCTAACAAAAAAATTACGTCTGCCCACTTTGGTTTGACTTCACCCCGTGACTCTCTTATGTCAGATTAATTTTTGCATCATTGGGAGATGAGACATTTACTTATTTATTTATCATAAAATAAATCAATATAAATATATATATATAATCATAAAACGCAATTGCTATATTAATTAAGACAATTAATTTAAGAAAGGATTACCAAGATGGGATAGGATAAGGATATATGTTCTATCTCTATATACTAGCCAGCAGCATGATCACCACCTATCTGGCTTCCTGTTCTAATTTGAGTGAATGCAGGTACAGGTTCTGCACAATCAAGGTGTATATAATCTGTATACTTTGATGTGGATTCCTCAATTTAGCAGGGGGTTGGATTCAATGGCCTTATAGATCCCCTTCCAGATACATTTTTTTGGTCATTCCAAGCCGCCAAGAGCACTGAAAATGTGTTCAGCTGAAGCTACTGTAGTTAGACTTCAGAGATTCCTTGTCATGAGGGTGGAAATCAGAGAAGTAGTAGACAGGATTACACCTGGAGCAGGCATTCCCCTCTCCTCTCCATGACTGAGATATCTGAAAGTCTGAAGAGTCCTATTAGGAATTTGATATATATATAAGTGAATATTATAGACCCTGCAGGACACATAAAATTTTCTTTCTCCTTTCCAGAGCAGTCAGCAGAGAGAACTCTCCAACCCTCCCCACTTGAAGGATCTGTTTGTTCAATCAGTTTGGATCTCTGTCAACAGCCGGCCACCCAAATTTACGGGCACAGTTTTCGTCAAGCATGTTCCAGTAATTTCCTGGGGTAAGGAGTTGAAGAAGAAAAGCAACCTGCTCTGTTTGCAAAGATTTTTTTTTCTTGAAAAGAAACTTGGCTTGAGGGGAACCACTTGAGAAAATGGAAGAAACCACAAGACTGACAACAGTGGATGAAACGAAACCGTCACCTCAGGAACTCTGTGAGATACATAAGGAAGAACTGAGTCTCTTCTGTGTGGAGGACCAAGCACCTCTTTGCTCCGTCTGCAGAAAATATTGGGATCATGCTTCGCACACTGTGATTCCCAGAAGCCTGGCAGCAGAGAGAGAAAAACAGGTAGGTAACCATCATCTCCCCGTGAATTGCATCCAGAAATCAAATCACAATAAACAGAAGCTTAATCATTCATACTTAATCAAAAGTGTAAATGTAATCTTGTTAATACTTACTTAAAAGTATAACGCGTTCTCATTTAGCCGTTCTGTCAGAGGGCAGGCTGCCACTATTTAGACCAGATGAAATTCTGAACAGTCTTCAAGAGAATGTCACTGTTATGGCCTCAGCGCTTTGTTAGCGCTTTACTTTCCACTCTTCCAACATCATCACAGTACTGGAAGGAAAAGTGCTTCGCTTTGGTTGCTGCGGAAAATGCTCTCTCTCTCTTGAGTTGCTTAGGCAGAACCAACCGGTCATTAGCCTTGTACTTGCATGGTGCCAAACTTGTATGTCCTGAAACAACACAAAGGCAATGTTGGAGAAAACATTTGCAGGGACAGTCAATGGGAGGGATGAAAAAAAATCTCTCTTGCAAATGCTCACAGTTGGATGTCCTAAGCAACAATGGATATCCTTACCTCCTGTATTCATTTGGTAAAAACAGTGGAGGTCTCTTTGTTTTATGTGAACAGAAAGAAAATGGAGTCATCTCATGAAACCCTATCTAAAGGAGAGACAGAGTTTCAAGATGCTGTTGGTGTTATTCATTTGAAAAGCTCAGTGTTTGAAATCCTGTTGCTTTATCTGCTAAGTTAGACCTGTTGAATCAGTGAGGATTTGGTGAATCAACTCCTCTGTAAGGCCCCCTTTATTTGTGACTTACAATGTTAAAATAAATCAACTACACTAAGCTGGGATGTTGGTAAGTGTTTGGGACTGAGTCCCAAGTCTGAGTCTCAGATCCTTTGCCCGCCCTGAGAGGGGGCATGTGCCAAGCAAGCGTGGAAGGGAAGATGAGCCTTCAGATTCACAGAGACAGCAGCCCAACTGCACTTCCTGGAGCCAGCCCCTGCTTCTGCACATGCACCAGCCTCAGCTGGGCAGTGAATGCGTGGGGAGAGGCAGCAGTTGGCCCCTGGAAAGGAAGTCGGCCTGTTGTCTCTGAAGATGACAGCAGTGGGCAGTAGCAACAGGTAGGGAGATGCCCATAGGGACAACGCAACTCAGACATATGGGTCCAAGTTGCAATTCGAGTCCCGGGTCCTCCTCCTCCCCAGAAACCTGCAAGTCGTGTCCTAGCCGTGACTCCTGAATTCCCATCCCTCATACTAAGCAACAGGATTGCAGCCAATGTGCTTAGTCAGTCAGTGACATCACAGGGGCCCATCATCACACTATGGCTGCTATTAGTTTGTGCTCAAAACAGAAGAAAATCCCATACAGTTTTATGGGCTAAAAGAACTGCATGTCATACAGTGACTAAGGTGCTATTGTGGGACTGGCAGTTCCTGGTTCATATCCCTAACCAGTGCATAAAAATTCACCAGAAAATGTTCTGCTTCTGTTAGGTCCCTACCATTTTTGTCCTTTATCATGTCCATCTTTGCACAAAAGGTTCCTTTAATATCTCCAATTTTCTTGAACAAATCTCTGGTTTTCCCCTTTCTATTCTTTTCTTCTATTTCTTTGCGCTGTTAGTTTAAGAAAGCCCTCTTGTCTCTCCTTGCTATTCTTTGGAAGTCAGCATTCCATTTTCTGTACCTTTCCCTATCTCCCTTGCATTTTGTTTCCCTTCTCTTCTCTGCTATTTGTAAGGCCTCGTTGGACAGCCACTTTGCTTTCTTGCATTTCCTTTTCTTTGGGATGGTTTTTGGTGCTGCCTCCTCTACAATGTTACAAGCTTCCATCCATAGTTCTTCAGGCACTCTGTCCACCAAATCTAGTTCCTTAAATCTGTTGTTCACTTCCACTGTGTATTCATAAGGGATTTGGTTTAGATTATACCTGAGTAGCCCAGTGGTTTTTTCTACTTTCTTCAGTTTAAACTTAAGTTTTGCTATAAGAAGCTGATGATCAGAGCCATAATCAGCTCCAGGTCTTGTTTTTGCTGAATGTATAGAGCTTCTTCATCTTGGGCTGGAGAGAACATAATCTGATTTCGGTATTGCCCATCTGGCGATGTCCATGTAAAGAGTTGCTTCTTGTGTTGTTGGAAAAGAGTGTTTGTGATGACCAGCTTGTTTTCTTGACAAAACTCTATTAGCCTTTACCTTGCTTCGTTTTGAACTCCAAGGCCAAATTTACCTGTTGTTCCTTTTATCTATTGACTCCCTACTTTAGTATTTCAGTCAG